TAAATATAAATAAGTGATCCGTACCTTCTCAAAGTCTCCATTTTGCCACCTCCTTAGCATTTAGCCCTTGGCATACAGAATTTGAATACATTTCTTTTGCATAATGCATTTTTATGGCTCTTATAGAGTTAATTCTAGCAGATTATCCTTTTTTTATAATAAAAACCCAAACGCTCTAAAAAGAGAACAAAGGCAAAAATGTTAGCTGCAACGGCTAATGAGCAGCAACTTTTAGCTGAACTTCCAGGTCGTCACCCACAGCTCCCCCTCGCTGCCAACTATGTGTGGTGAAATGCAATAATACTCGTAAATGCCAACGAAATTGCAAGCGCGTTAAAATATGTTACAATCAGTGTTAATGCTTTGCATTTTATATGAAAAATGCCAGAGAGAGAGAGAGAGCGAGAGAGTGCGAGAGGGAGAGAGAGATAGGGAGAGTGTGAGCGAGCTGGTGCCTTATATAACAAATGCTGACCCCTACCCAAGCAATACAATGGGCACACAACAAATACACACACAGTCACACAAACACACACATGCACACACACACATTCAGTTGCATGCACGTATAATGCAGTGTGAGAATATAATAAAAGTCGACAGCGACTGCGGTAACACAATTGTATGCGATACTATATACAAAAATATATGCAAAAAAAATAAAAATAAAAAATAAACTAGAGTGCGAGAGGGACCCTGTGCAGGATAAGGAAAAACTGCTAACTGGATGCTGCGTTGTAGTTGCCTCGAATTTCGCATAGAAAGTGCCAGGGATTTTTGGGTTGTGGCACACTAAAAGGCGAATATTGTTTGGCATGCAAAGCGGCGAGGACTCGTAGTTAATGATCTAGCTGGCATTGTTAACCACAGTTATTGTTCGCCGGTTGCATAAATTTTACTTTTATTGCTGGCATAAAATTCTAGCTGTAGTTGTAGTTGTAGTTGTAGTTGATGTAACGCTTAGCTGACCTTTATTTAATTGCATTTCTTTCGCGTTGCAGGTGGTTTGAGTTCGCTGCCAACAGCTAATGTACTGGACAGCGATGTGAAGGTGATTATAATACGTGGACCACGCAACTCGATAACAATCGGACCGGCACTGCGGCAATTTATGCAGCTGCAAGTGCTGCGCATCACCGACTCCAATTTGCCAGCGATTGGGGCCGAGTCCTTTTGGGGTCTTAAATATCTCCGGATATTAGGTGAGTAATCAATTCTTTACGGCCACCTACTAAAAATCGCCATTTGTTTTACGTGCGTGCGTAAAGCCAGCGAGCAAACAGGCAGCGATTTCAATTTAAGCAGCTGTGCATAGTTAAAAGAGCAAACAGCGCGATATGCAAATAATACAATCAAACTGAAAGCTGCGGAGCTGCAAAGCTGAAAAGCACGCAGAAATCAGGCAACCGTTGCGGTCGTCCTGCAGCATCGTAAAAGCCAACGCAAATAAAAGTGCGCGTCGCAAAATGTTAAATGAGCGCCGTCGATGCGGTCGACGGCGTTTGCCGAGTAACCCCATCAGCGAGGGTATTCATACTATATCGCATGCCTTGCGACGCACAAATGTCAGTCTTAATCCAGTCCAGGGAGATGTGCAGCATGTATAGTACAGTAAGAGGCGCTGCCTGGCATGACTCAAGTAAAGCTTGGCAGTAATTCAAGAATGCGAGCTTAAAATGCAGATTAGGCTTCATATTATAAGAAAATGTTGACTTGAGATGAACAATAGGCAATCGCAAGATATTGTACTTATTTCAACATTAAATCATCTGAAATATTTCCTATAGATATCAAACATATTTCTATGTTTCTTTTCTCTATTAGTGTTGGAAAATGCATTTTGATGAGTCTTGAGTCTTATTTTATAATTTTATCTGTTTTGGAATGAATTAATTTAACTTCAACTTCTAAACTCGGCTTCTAACCATAGCTTGCGAATAACTGTTAACCGATTCGGGCTGTCTGCAAATAAGTGTGTTTCACTCACACTTTGCAAAACACTCAGAGAGCAACCGATTGAAATGATTGCTCGTCGAGTTCGTTCTCGTTCGGAGAACAACCATTTACATTTTGTCTATTTTGATCAGGTCACTATATTTCTATATATTAAATATCTAAACAAATCAAAAAATTGTCAAAGAGTCACTCTAAGACTCAGTGTATACTGAAGCCAGTGTATGGATAAAGAAAAACAATTATCCATGTTTTGTTAAAAGAGTAGTCAGCCCTTCGATCTGAGCAGAAAATGCTGGCTGCTTGTGTTTGTCAATAAAATTGAAATTGATGCGCCAAACAGCGAAAAGCGAACCGAAAAACCGACAAATAAAATAAGACCCGGCCAGAAATCAAAAGTAAAAGTCAGCCAGGCAATGCGTCGATATCGCTCAGTGCTTTTCCAACTTGTTTATTTGAGTTTTATGTCTGTTTGTGGAACGGGGCGCGTTGCCCTGGCTCTCCAATTATTTACATGCACGAATCTTTGTTTTTTGCCATGAGCCCCTTGCCAAAAGTCAAAAGTCGACATAAAATACAGACACACACACACATACATAAAGAACTTTAACATGCAATACAAAAAAACAAAGCAAAAATACAAAGAACAAAGAAAAAATCTTGCTGCTGCAGTTTAAAATGTTGCCTCTAGTCACAACAACAAATTGTATTATTTTCGTTTCAGTTTTTTGTTCTCGTTTCTATTTAAATTAATTTCGGCAAATGTTTAAAATGTTTAAGTAGGCGTGGCACCCTGCAGCTACAGTCACTCTATCGCCCCTAACAATGACAGCAAACTAGAGCCTTTCCCTGGCTCTCAACTACAAATGCTACTCAAGTTCCTCCAGACAATGGGGCGTATGTGTAATGTGTTTTGTGCTCTGCACTCAGTGCTTTATCTGTTTGCAACTTTCTGCCTTAAATGGGCCAAGTGGAAATACTTTTGTGTGTGCTACGGCCAACATCCTGGTGTTTGTTTTAAAGTTTTCCCTTTGTTTTCGATTTGTCATTTTTTGGTTTTTCCTCTGGCCTAGAATTTTCACCATGCATTTAGTTTCGTTGTTCTTTGTGGACGCTTTCCAATTTCGTACAATGTTAATATTTACTCAATGATAAGCAACTCGATCCCTTTGTGGTTAATAACAATAAAAACGAGTTGTTGACAACTGCCCAAAACAATTGCAATGTCATAATAATATTTTTCCAATCTACTTTTTTTCATGTGCCCTTCAACAAAAACTGCTGCATACTTTTATGCGTTCGATGAAATGCAATCAATACATGTACCCAAATAAATATATATATACATATGTTTGTATGTATATGGGGCTCTGCTGTTGACATGTGCAGATCTATCGAAGAATAATATAACAAACATCACGGAAAATAACTTTCGTGGCCAGGATAATCTGCATGAATTGGATTTATCAAAAAATAAAATATTGCGCATGGCCAGCTCAACGTTTCGCCATCTGATGGTGAGTACATACATGCATATGCATAGATATATTTTCAGGTGATATTTTTTATTGATAAAAACACATGTTTTTATGTCTATGTATGTCAAATTAAACATATATATATATATAAATATTTCAATGAATTATTAATGTGCAAGCTGAGAACTGTAGGGGAGGGAGCTCGCTGTAGCCTAAAAAATATATATATATATTAATATAAATAGTTCCTGTAGTCATTGATTTTTTAATTTGATAGATTTATGGAAGAAGATGGATGAGATTAAGGATTTCAGTAATGTTAAATCGGTCTGATACTCCCCATTTATAGAAATCTCTTAGTGCCATTAATAACTTTAGAGATTTTCCGTTCGTTTAATATGCCACGTGCTGAACAAGTACAAATACTAAATCAAATATTAGTGCAATTTCTGCAAAGACTGCATAGTTTTGTCTTTGCTTGTGCGCTAGTTTGTAATAAATACCATGGAATTTTTAATAGCTAGCTACAAATAGTGTTGCCTACATTTTGGGCAAGCGAAAAGTTTTACGTGCTTGAATTTAAGTTGGCTGCAGCAGTTGGGAGCTGCAGCTGTTCGAGTCTGGGCCAGTACCAGGGCCAAGGCCAGAGTCAGGGGCGGAAGTGCCAGTGCACGAAAAGTTGCTGCGTTGTCTTCAATTTGCTTTCGATTTTTGTTTTCCCCGCTGCTGTTGACTTCCTTTTAGCTAGCCGAAAGAGTAACTCTGGGTTCCTCTGCAGCAGCAGCAGCAGTAGTAACAGCAGCAGCAGCAACAGCAACGCCGTTTGAAAGTTATCTTTTTCGGCAGTTTCCGGTCCGCAGCGAACCGCTTGCCCGCTCTGATTTATGAATTATTAGCCATGAATTTTGCTTTGGTAGCAAGAAGGGAGAAGGAAGAGCCGAGTGGAGGGTCGGGCGCCGGAGCTCTTGTGAAATATTATTAATTTGGTGCGTGACGTAATAAACTTTGGCAATTGCATAACTCTTTGCGGGGCAGGATCTGCGACGTCTTAATTTGGCCGACAACTCAATTGTGGAGCTCGTGCAGCGCAACTTCTTCATGCTGACAAGACTGAAGTACCTGGACTTGAGCGGAAATCCGTTGCAGGATTTACAGCCGGATGTATTTCGCGATGTGCCCGTAAGTAAACACATAACAGTTGCTTCTACGCACTTTCTCACCATCTCCCTCTCTCTCTCTTTTCCACTATCTGTCTCCTTCTCTTTGCAGGAACTAAAAGTACTCAAATGCCGCAATTGTCAGCTGAAAAAAATCAATCCGCAGTTGTACAATTTATTGCCACTTTTAAGCGAATTGGATTTGGGTCGCAACGAGGTTCGTCGTCAGCGCGTCTATTCGAAACTTCTCAACCATTTTCCAATTATTTTCCTGTTTTTTCTTTTTTGTCTTCTTTTTCCCAACTTACAGTTCAAATTCCTTGACAAGGATGAATTTCGCGACGTGAAGCGCCTCACCAAAGTTTTACTCGACGGCAATCAATTGTCTGTGGTCGTGGACCAACTCTTCCGCATGCAGAAAAGTCTTAATCACTTGGGTGCGCCATCGAAATTATAGTCATTTAGCTTCTCGGCAAAACTCACTCAGTGCTCCCATTTCCCTAACTGCCCTCCTATTTTTTGCTCCCTTTCAGATTTATCGTACAATCGGCTGGCCAAAGTGCCGAATGATTCGTTTCTGCAGCTCACCAATCTCACATTTCTGGATCTCTCGTATAATAAGCTGGTGCGTCTGGAGCCGCAGTCTGTGCGGAGTTTGTCCAGCCTGAAGGTTCTGAATATTAGCGGGAATCTGCTAATGGATTTGAGAGATATGCACGAAACTTTTGCTGTGAGTTTTAATTAAAGTATACTCAAATTACTAAATTAGTGCTTCTTCTAGCTTGCTTTATTCTTATTTTAATATGCCTAAAAAATTTCCCTCACAATAATTTGCCTTTGAGGTAACACTAAGTTCAATATAGCTATTGTTAGATATTGGCAAATTTTCATTTGTTTACTAACCATACAACATGCAGCTAAAATATATTATTAAATTCATATGTACTTAAATTTTTCTGATATTTATTTCAACTTTATTGCCGTCAAAATGCTGCCTGTCTGTCAAATATTTAACAAACAGTTAAATCTTTTGTATATAAACCTTACTTACATATCCATTAATTTAATCTAAATGGTTTATATACTCCTTTAATTATGGTATCTGTCAGGCAAACATTCAACAAGCAACCAAATTAATTAATGAAAGCCTTCATCGAAATATATTTGCATATACACAATTTTGCACTATGTTATGCATTGCATTTGCCTTCCACCTTAAATAGCCCTAAAGCCCCATCTGCTTGTCAAATGCTTCATAATCAGTTAAGTATTAACTGCCAATTTCCCGTATTGCAAGTCCATCACCAAAACTTTACCTCAATCTAACCAAAAACTAATTATGCGCCATCAGTTTAAATTTATCTCTCCATCTCTATCGAATCTCTTCTCTGTCTGCCTCTATGTCTACAGCAAAAGCTCGCTTGATTGAGTGAGTGGCAATCCATCAATTAATGCTGAAATTGTATTTTATCTTGTAGATGATACCGGACCTAACGCACTTGGCCATTGCGGATATGGGCCCGCTGCCAGTGGGCCTGCTATCGCCTTTCCGGCAACTGCGCTATTTGAATATCTCGGGTAATTCATTGGATAACATGGCACTGCAGGTTATCGATCCCTGCCGTGAGCTAGAGGTAAGCTGCCCACTGTACCAAATGTACCAAAACGCAAGTCTATGTCAGGGCAGTGCTTGCCAAGCAATTGTTATTTAAGCTATACCATGCAACCGTAGCTTGACTATCCTTCGTTTTGCTGCTGTTGGTGCTGCTGTTGGTGCTACTCCTGCTGCAACTCCTGCTGCTGCTGCTGCTGGCATTTGTGTATTTATTTGGCTGTTGATAACTTTCTGGCCAATTGCAAAATATTTCAACAAGCAACCAACGGCTGCATGACAAAATGATATTGCTGCCGGTTGGCAGTTTTCGTTAGCATTTGCCATTTACCATTTGCCATTTAACAATTTCTCTTCTTGTTGCACAACTCTGACAACAAGTTAAGCAAAAACGTTCTTGCTTGCCTACGCGGTCGCAATACGTCTGTCCGTCCGATGTCCTTGTACGTGCTTCCTTCGTGTCACTTTCTATCTGACTCTGTCGTACTCGCTCTCTCTCCCTCTCTCACTCTTTCCGTCGCTCTCAACTGTTTGCGTATTGTTTTTATAGTAGCAATATCATGCTCATACCCTGCAAATGTGTCAAGTGGGGCATATCAATAAAAAACAATTAAGAGATAGATATATTTTTCAAATTTGAAGTATTCTTAATTCATTTTACTTTTTATATATACGAAAATATTTATAATATTATTGATATTTTTGAATGTGTTTTTAATAACTTCAAGTATCTATCAGTCGAGCTTTTGGCCTGTTCAAGCCTCCAGCTTGTTGACCATGGTAAATTTACGGCACAACAACAATCAGTTGATAGCCATTAAGCTTTTCATTTTAATTGAATTTAATTGTGAATAGTCGGACAGTTGAGTCAAGCCTTTGGCATTGTTTTTGATGCCATTGTTGTTGTTACACAATGGCAAACCGAAAGTTTTTCAGGGACAGCAGTTGTAGCTAATTGCAATTTGATAAGCAAATCCCAAAGAGGAAATTCCTCTTTTTTTATGCACATTTGAAAACATTTTGGTATACATTTTTTCTGGTTTTTTTTTTTCCCCTCTAGTTTTTGGACTTATCACGAAATCAATTATACGGCATCAACGCTGACACGGCAATACGAATTCAGAGCATTCGCAATGTGCGCCTGGATAACAATCCGCTCATCTGCGATGAGTGCCACATGGGGAAATTAATAAATGTCGTGCGACAAGTAAGTAATATAAATTTGGTCGATATGTATACGCCGCGTAGTCCCTGTGCACAGAAACTTTCAATTAGTTTTCAAAGTACCAACTGATTGATGATATCTTACATTGAATTAAGCCCGAGCTTGACTTGTATTTTTATGCACTTTCCTCGTTTTCCTGACAGCTGCAATGGCAATGGGACACATATCCCATTTGCTTTCTGCCGAAGAGTTTGCGTGGCGCTCAAATAATTAATTTGGACATTGGCGGGCTTCACACGTGCCTCGATTACATCAGCGACGAGGAGCAGAATGCCGCGAGCACTTCATATAACTTTCTTGAGCATGGTGAGTGAGTAAATGTGTTTGATTTTTAAATTAAATTAAATACTCAATATATATAGTTAGGAAAACAGTCAATTAGGATTTTATTTATACATCTTACCATGACTTTGCGCAGGGTATTAATACATTTGTATTTATTTTTAGCTCTCACTAATTAAGAGTACACAGGCAATTTTTAAAATGGGTAGAATTACTTGGTCACTTGGTGATTTAGTAAAAAATAAAAAAAAAATTTATTTTTTGGTGTTTTTTTTTTTTTGTGCGATATTCTGAATTTACTAGCTTTAATCATTTTTATAAAATTTTGTGTGTATTTTTTAAATTATATCAAAATTAAGATATTGACTCAAAGTACTTACCTGATAAATTTGTTGGCTTGCTTTAATAATTGAGCTGAATATTTTAAATACTACTAAAATGAATTACTTTTCAGAAATTTATCCACACAATAAAATACACAAATAAGTTTAAGTCTAAGTCTAAGTGTGTTTAGCTGATATGGCTATCGACTCGTTTAATAATTTATGAAACAACTGCAAATTTTTTTCTAGTAATCTGATATAATATTTAATCTCAAATACACCTATAATTACCATTTAATAAAAATATATGCTATACTTTATGCTTCCTCTTCTTTTAATTTATTCTCTTCACAGGTGGCCTTAATACCTTGGCTATATTGGGTGGCATAATTTTTGTGCTAATTGCCGTTATAATATTATCGCTTGTGGCTTGCTTTTCGAAGAACCGCGCACGCTACTATACCAGGGAGGATCATCTCAATGGCAGTAAGTACAGATAGCGAAAGCGAAACACAAATTAAACACGAACCGACACCAAGTGAAGCCATAGCCATAGCTTTGCCAGCTGATGTAATACTTAAGTCTACTTGGGCAGGGCGCCAAGTCTTAGCAAAGGCAGACCCAAACACAAGGCGTCGAAATGAGAAACTGTCTGTTTGCATTAACGACAGCTTACAATTTATGCGCTGCGCTGCTTTAAACCGGGCAGTTGCCTTCTGAAAATAATCTTTCTTGCAGCTAGCACGTAAAATTTTTGTCGAAATTAAAAAAGAAAGAAGCCGCCGCACTTAATTAATTACAAGTACGTGCTTCATTATGTTCGAGTGTAGCCCTTGCCGCGTTTCCCCTTGCCAACTAATTGAGGAATAAATAAATTTCGAGCTGACCTACGTACCTTAGAGGCCGGCGTTAATGTTTGCGCACACATAACCACACACACACACACACACACACACACACACACCTGCCCAACTCTGTTACCTTAGTACAAATTGGCCCTGGGGCCAAGCGTAGTCGTGGCCATTCAGCAGAACGCACTCGAGGGAAACGCGGCTTCCATAGAAAACAAAGTAAACTTCGGAATTTGGCGCAATTGTAGCTGGGTTTTTGCCGTGTTTTTTTTTTTTTTTTGCCTCCCTCTTTTTTTTTTTTGGCAAACAATAAAAAATGGTCGCCAAGGCTGTAGCAACAAAAACATTTTGCAACACCGCATTCGATTCCCTCAATAAGCTCAGCTGAGCAAAAAAAAAAAAAAAAAAAAAAACATTCAATTTTTGTTTAAGCTCGACAAAAACTCAGAAATTCAAGCGACAAATACCACCAGAGTTGAGCTCACTGAAAAATACATAGCATGCAATACCAAAAAAAGAAAAATTCGTGTCACTGACTACGAACATTGACAATTGCAGCAGCTGCAGCGATGCTCAGAAAGAGCCTCAGAGATATGCCTAGAATTTGAGGGAATTTTTATCTTTGGCATACGAATAACACAAGGAGAGTCTGATTGAGAGATGGCAATAAAGCTTTGCTTCTAATTAGAGAAAAATTTTGCTTTGGTGTTTGAAAAGCAAGCTAGAAAATTTATAAGTCTGTTTCACGAGAAGAAAATGCAGCATTATCGATTTCAATCACAAAAGGCGGCTGTGGAGCAAAGCTAGAATTTAAGTGAGTTTATATTTTGGGTATAGGAATAGCATAATTAATAAATAATGAAGTCGGTTTCATCTCTTACTGACATGCTTGCCAAAATCAGAAAAATCAATGCCCATTTCCCTAGTGCACCTAGTTGAAGTAGTTTGGTTTAAGAGACTAGCAATATATTTATGTAGAAGTAGACGCTCTATATTAAAATATATTCATATATATTTAACATGAATATCTCTAATATATATTTACATATATTTATTTCTTGCTAATTAAACTCAAACTAAATTTAAATTAACCTTACTAACGGCAAACAAATCACTTGGCAACAAAGTTTTTCAATTAATTTAAAAAATGTTGCGAATCTGTGGCCGTTGGCTCAATACGTTTAGAGAGCGAGCACATGTACGCAAATGCTTGAAGCTCTTTCAACAGAAGTTAAAATAAAGTTGAAATATAATCAAGGAAACACTGAAGCACTCAGTGAAAGTAATTTTAAAATAAAATCAAATACAAGTAAAAATATTCGCCTGGCAGGAAACTTTTGATCTAACTAAACAAATCAGCTCAGCGTAGGTGTTTCTCTTTTAATTCAGTTAAAACTTTCTACCTGGAAAGTGGAATAAAATAATTTAGTTGCAACTAAATATTTATCTATATTTTTCAAATCAATTTATTTTATTTTTTATATTTTAAAGCCATTGAAAATGGACACTCAGCGTCAAGTGGGTTCGTTGAAATATTTTAAAATTGATAGAAGGAGCCATCGTTGAGTCTATTAAATATATATTATTGATAAGGATAACAAACTGAATTAGCCCAGTGCTGGATATCCATCTAATTCATAAGTATTAGAGCTAGAAAAAATTTAGCCGCAAACGCAAAATATTTTTGTTTATTTTTTCAACAATTTTACAATTAATATTTTATAAAATTGCTTTATTAATATAAAAATAAATTAAATATATTATAAACATATAATATGACGAAATGCTCAGGGAATATAACACTTGGCAATCAAACTTCAATTTCAGACTAGTTCTTGCATTTGGCATATACTTGATAAATATTTTTCCCATAGTTAATTTTTTTGAATTTAGTCTACCTACTCAACATTGATCTCCAATATATAATATGTCAGTTTATTACATACTTTATATAAATCCCAATCACAACTCATATCACATCTCCTACTCATTCTCGCTCATCTCTGTCTATTGCGCTCTTCCCTCAGGCGACAGCAAATGTTTGGAAAAGAACTTGGAGTCGGCTACAATCACAACGCTCGGCAATGGCAGCTCGCCGACGACAACCACCACACTGACGTTGGCCACATCGCCGGCAGGGGGACCAGCAACGAATGGCACAACAACAACCACAACAAATGGCAATACAAATGGCCAAATCCAGAGTCCAGCTAATGGCAGCACGCCTTCACATGCGGCCATCGATGCTGCCGGCAAGGAAATCAACTTTACGTTTCCAATTGACGATCGTGTTTGCACCATCGACGAGCTGGTGCTGCCACCGGCGCCGCCGCCCCCTGCCGTCGCCCAAGTGCACCAGCAGCCGAGCATGGGGAGTCTAATGTACAGCGTCTCGCAGTCGCCGAGCAGCASCAGCAGCTGTGGCACGGCTACGGCGCGTGCAGCAGCAGCGGCTGCCGCAACGGTCATTCCACCGGGCGCACCGTCGCCAATGCCGATGCCAGTGCCGATGCCGTTGGCTGGACCCGCTGACTCTGTGGTTGTGGTGCTGCCACCACCGCCGCCGCTGCCGCAGCAGCAGACGGGCAGTCTGGCCAGCCTGCGCGAGGTGCAGCAGCAGCTGGTGCATTTGAGCAGCACGCTCGAGCCGCTGGTCAGCGTTAACTGACCCAGGGGCTTGGCAGCAACGGCCGCAACGGCCCCAACCGCAGCATCAGCGGGTAAGTTGGCCAGCAAGCAAACGTTGAGCACGACAGCAACGTAAGCCACAGGAGAGTTGGCCCCACTCACAATCCCAGCCGCAGTCGCAGTCGCAGTCGCAGTCGTAGCTGAAGCCAATAGCAGCAAATTTTCGTTCACTGTTGGCGTACGGGTCGTATAATTAATGAGACGGCGCACTGAGCATTGTTTTTGGGGTCGAATTGAAGTAATTAGGATTTGGGTTTGCAATTAAGTTCATTAATCACGGGCGCCCTGACGAGAACTAAGGCAACAACAAATATGAGCTGAGTCTTGACAGAGCCTGGTGAAAATTTATTAACGAACTAAGCATAAGTTAATTAGGATAAGGATAACAGTAAAATGCATTTCAGTTTGACAGATTGCGTGAAATTTTCAATAAATAAAAAAAAAAAAATCTTCTAAACATATTAACTGCCATTTTCCGTATAAAGCAAATATTGCAAATATTTGCGAGCGTTTCACTAAGATATTTATAGTTTGGTTTTAACAATTGATTTTTTTTTTTTTTTTTTTCGAAATATATTTATATACATATATATAAATGTGAAACTCAGCATCTGTGTGTATATAAAAATAAAATACATTTAATAAATAAAACAAAATTAGACAAAGGCAGCAGAAACACATTTGACATGTGATAAATTACATTTTGTATATAAAATAAAAATATAAAAGCTACATGGAATTTCATAAAGTAGAAACAAAATACTGAAAGTAAATATTGTATATTTGGCTAAATAAAAAAAAAAAAAAAAATAGAAAAGAAATTTGAGAAGCTGCCATTTTAGGCTAAAAGCAAGAATAAAAGAAACAAAAATTATTAATTTAAGTCTTAAGCATATAAAGTTAGCACTTAGATAGTTGAATAGATTTTAAACACATATATATTTAAATCACTTAAGAAAATAATATTTATTGTTAAGACAGATAAAAAGAAAAAATAACAATCATTTCAATGTTCACAACCGAAACCCAACCAGTAAACCCAAACGATTTCAGTTTATTTGAGGAAAGCGCAGCAAAACAATTGTAAATTTAAGTGCATTTAATTTAACTTTAACGACAGCTTAAATTTCATTTATGTTAAACCAGTTCAAGCACTACATCCGTAATAAAGTGTGACAGTTTATGGAAAATACTAAATAAAAATAAAAATAATAATAATACAAAAACTACTAAATCTTTCATTGATTGCAAAACTATTTGTTGTAGCTACGTGTCGCACTTACCGCAAGCGAAACCCCAACGCAAATCGTTTTCAGAAGAAACCAAATGAAAATAATACGAAAACCAGCAACCAACCAACAGCAGCAGTGGTGGCAGCATCTAACCGATGGGGACAATGTGAATCAGCGCTACAATTTATTAAATAAAAATGCGGCACTTGCAACGCTTTGCGGCTGCTTGGCCCCACTTGTCTGCCACCCATTTTGTGGCAACTAGAATTATGCTTGTAACATGTGCTGCTGCTGCTGCTCCTGCTGCTCCTGCTGCCGCTGTTGGCTTGCCCCCAAGTGTGTGAGACCACAGAGCCGCCATTTGAGCTCAACGCAAATGAAAATTGCTTCCGTTTCCGTTTTGCGACTCACTTCCGTCGACATTGGATTTAGCTATTGTTGCTGATTGCGAACGGCTTGGGCTTTGATTTACTCCACACAGATGCATTGATGCTCTCTGCTTTTTATAATACTTAAACGGAGTAGAGTTTAAATCGTCTGTAGCCATTTGTTTTGAGCAGCCATGAATCTAGCAGAGAACGGACAACGTCTCGTTCCACTCTGAGCTCCATTCTATTGCACTTGAGTGGCTGACAAACATTTGAATTTATGCATGAATATTGTAGGAGCAGCAAGTCAATGGTGCTTGGTTTTGTGTTTTGTTGCTGCATTGCAAATGCATTCGAAATTGGTGTGGAGCATCGAGAGTTCCAGCAGCCACTCAAGTGGACATGCAAATGGAGCATGTGGCTGCAGATCGCTCGAGAGTGCGCATCAATATTGGTGCACTTGACACTTGACGAGGTCCGAGAAGCTGAAGCTGCCGGCACTGATTAACATGCACTACTTGATCAAATTGCTGGCCAACTGAATTAAAAACCAAAAAACATGGCACAGAGAGTCGACATATGGGAAATATGGGGATTGCGGATATGCAGCAAAGTATGGCAAACTCAGTTTAAAGCCAAGAATATATATAAGTCTAAAAATAGCTTACAACATGCACTTACAAGCAATTGATGAAGACGCTGCCAGCTTGTCTCACAGCTGCTCCCATCCAATTGGCTGGCAAAAGGAGGCGAAGCCAGCTGTGAGCAGCTGCCAGTTGCTGCACCTTGGCTTGCTGTGCATGCCTGTCAAGCATATAAAATCTACTCGAGCTGGCAGCTACTCCAGTTTGTGTTTTCCACTTACTTTTATATCTTTTCTTAGTTTTAGGTGCAACAATTGCGACTGCATGTGTAAATTTAATCAGGCAACGTTCTCAAGTATGGCTCTTTGGCTGCTCGGCTTGAATCTCTTAAATTTAATGAAATATATGTGTTTTCAGGCAAGGTAAGTCTAGTTTAACTTAAGTGAGATAATATTCGATTGAGTCAATAGCAGTTGCATTGCATAACTAAAAGCTATCACAAATATTATGTATACGCAGTGGTAAAGTTTGAGCTTACTGAATTCGTAGCCTTTTGTTCTACCTCAAATATTGAGGCTGAGCTCGTCTGAGCTAGAGCTTAAGCTGCCTGAAGAGACCCATTGATTACTATTTGAGTCATGGCTAAATAATATGTACAACATTTTAACTATATATTTTTTCAGACATCTACTCCACTTATTTTAATATCTTTTATTATCTCTTTTCACGGTAATATTCGCATGCATTAGCTGCCCAATCGATACGACTGATTAATCAAAGTGCAGAGGCAAAGTATATGGACTTAATTGACAGTTGCTGCTGCTGCTTAGCCAATATACGCACAGTGAAGGATTCAAGTATAACACTCAGCTGGTGCCATCAATCAGGCTGTCAGGCAACTATTAACCCTTACATATTGCGGCATGACAAATCGCTTCTGACATGCCCAAAGACATGACGGACATTGCCGACAGTTGCACAGTTTCAGCCACAGTTACGTATACAGTTACAGTTAAGGCTCCTTAATGCCAGGACACGCATTTGTCAGCACTAATTGTTTTCCAAAGCATTTGTAAAACTTGCCAAGGGCTGAAACAAAAACCGAACAAAGCTTGTTAGCAGCACAGCTCAGGCAAATGCATGAGAAAACATAAAGCAAAAATCTTCAGAGCACAAATAAAAAACAAAACTTAAAAAAAAAAGAAAAAAAAAAGTAGTTAGGCAAAGATTTGCATTTGCGCTTCGAGCACTGAGCTATGTCATAGCATGATTTTTAGTGGGCCAGTCAGCAGCTGCAGCTGCAGCAGAGCAGAGAGCAGGCAGCTCAAGTCTCCTGCTCACACACAAAAATATGAAATCAGAAATCCTTTTTGTGGCCTGTGTACGCTGCATCGCTCGGCAGCAGCAAAGTGTAATGCAAAACTGTGCCACAAATATTGCGGCACTGCACGTTGACAGTTGCCCCAAGGCGCACCGCAGCAGGCGTCTGCCAGCGTTAGGTGTGAACGGCAAATCAAAGAAAAAAGCAAGCAAATTGCACAGACAGGTGATTGCTTGACGTTGAGATGACCTGTAGATGGAGAAATTGTATGAGAAAATACCCTACATGTGGAATATATAGACCGTTAAAGGACCGTTAAATGTGAACTTTAGAAATTACCTTGATATTGCAGTATATTTTTGATTTGATTTAAAAACTTCCTTTAAAATATTTTCATTTCTTAAAAAATATATTTTGACAAAAAAACTGCATAGAAATCTTGATTGAATTCTATAGCTATATGTATAAGTAATCACAGTCGAAATTGAAATCCTAATGGATAGATAGCCCAATTAAGTGTTTGACTTGGAAATAAGCACTTGAAAACATATTACTAAAGTTAAGAGACATGAGTGTTAGACCTTATATAAATTTTTAAAATATTTCGGGTTAAATTAGAGATATATATTTCTTAAACAAATATAATTTCTATTAGGCTATTTTGTTGTGAAACTCACTCCTCAGTCCCAGCAGCACCTGAAACATTTCCTGTAAACGAACCTCAATTTGCAACTTGAGACTTTTACGTTTGTGGAACAAGAAGCTGAACTACTCGCTTCTGATTTTAATTTAAAAATGATTCTGATTTCAACTTAAAAAAAGCTTTGCAAATCTCTTAAAAATTAAACTTACACTCTGATTACCTAAATTACTTATTACTATATTAAAAATTATATTATTAAATTTTTGATCACAATAATTCTGCATAATGTAAATTTCTGTTTAAATCGATGCCATTTTGAATTATGGAGATTCTATTGTATTAACCAAAAAAAAAAAAAAAAAAAAAAAAACTCCAATAATTTATATTCCATATATTCCAATCATTTAGTCCATCATTTCCCACACATTTACTTACAGAGAGCCCCCATACAACATCTAACTGCAACACAACTTTTGCGTCTAAAAATGTAGGCCTGCGTGTCTGAGCCAATTGTCAGGCTAACAGTTAACAGGCGTGACTTTAAAAAGGATTGCCAATTGCCTTGAGAGATAACTCAAATTGCTAGCTTTAAGGCCTAACTATTTGCTAATAGTTATAAAGGGACACACACACACGCACACACACAAGCAAATGCTGCTTTTGGCTAAATGAGCTGCCTATTTTGTTCGTAAATTGTCAGCAATATATATAACCAGGAAATCTTTCGCACCTAAAATAGACCCCTGGGTGTCGTAGAAAACTTTTCAAAATGCATAAATTTTTGTATTTTTTTTTTTTTTTATGAGTGAGGCAAGTTTTAGCTGCGGTTTTCGGTTCTCGGTTTTTGGTTTTTGGGTTTTGGGGTTTTTGTCAAACCAATTGCCTGGCGACTGCAACGGCAAAGTTTCAATCATATTTGGCCGACACGTACAACATAATTATTACCTAAGCGCCGGACTAATTTTGATGGCGGCTATGAAAAGTTTTTGGGCAACTTTCAACGATTGGGCTGCCATAATCACGGCGCTAAAGACAAAGCATAAATCTATGCGAATTAGGTGGCTGGCACTGCCACCGGGCACACGGGCTACCAGGCACACGGTCGCAGGCATAAATATACAATATGAGGCCATATATATCTGGCGCGTCATACGCCATAGACATGCCCACTTTTCCTGAGGCTGCTTAACGCCCCGGCACAAACAGCATCATCAGCCTGGAGCATCATTTCCCGCAATTCCCGCTGCGGCCGGCTTCAGATTTATGATGAGACAAAGTCGCGCGCGTGTGTGACTCCATTAAATGTGTTAATAGGATAATGTCGTCGAGCAGAGAACGTAAAAAAAAGCCATATAAAAAATATGCCTGGCGTATCTTAAATATATGT